AGTCACATTTTTAAATGCGCAGTTATAAACTTTAAGTTATTTCATGTTTTTATTATATCCCTTAAAGAAATGGTGTTTCTCTGAATTATTTGATATTGCCGGAAAACACGCATTTGGGAATGTAGTCACCTTTTGGGAAGATGGTGGATGTGGATTTTTTGGTTCAGAGATGTATTTCGAGGGTTCATTGTCTTTTTTTACTGATTCATCAGATTTGAATGAATGCGGGAGGAACATAAATCACTGCCATGGACTTGCCACTTGTACCAATGAACGCGGATCGTATACGTGCAATTGTAACCATGGATACGTAGGAGACGGTTTTGACTGTTATAATAGATATGCAGGTAACNGTGGGGATGGGGGCATCTTGGTAGAGTCACATTTTTAAATGCGCAGTTATAAACTTTAAGTTATTTCATATTTTTGTTATATCCCTTAAAGAAATGGTGTTTCTCTGAATTATTTGATATTGCCGGAAAACAAGCATTTGGGAATGTAGACACCTTGTGGAAGATGGTGGATGTGGATTTTTTGGTTCAGAGATGTAGTTCGAGGGTTAATTGTCTTTTTTTCACTGATTCATCAGATTTGAATGAATGTGGCAGCAACATAAATCACTGCCATGGACTTGCCACTTGTACCAATGAACGCGGATCGTATACGTGCAATTGTAACCATGGATACGTAGGAGACGGTTTTGACTGTTATANAACATAAATCACTGCCATGGACTTGCCACTTGTACCAATGAACGCGGATCGTATACGTGCAATTGTAACCATGGATACGTAGGAGACGGTTTTGACTGTTATAATAGATATGCAGGTAACATTCGTGGTGCTTTTGTCGCATTATTTCAGTCACATTTGAATTCAAATACGTTATTAAATGAATCTCTTCATTAGGACTGTCGATTATAAGACAAACTAGAACTAGAGTCGAAGAAGGCTGGCTTGCAACGGAAACCAGTGCAAGAGGAATATTTTTCCTATAAACGACCACAAGTGGATTGTTTTAATGCCTTTCCCTGTATATACAATCAGACCTAACCTAGATTCAATCCAATCTTAAATTCTCTTTGTCGATTGTAACATTTTAATGTATATTCTCTCATTAGGCTTAAGAAAATCAGCCATACTGGGGAATGACGATAATTACTTAAGCACTTTAAGTAACTGGTTAAAGCCTGTTATGCAGAGCAAATCTTCTCAATGGAATCGCTGTTGGCGGGCGTCGCTGAACGGCTGGGCTACAAACACCTTCCATTCACTTTGCGACAATAAAGGTCCATCTGTTACTATTATTCGTGTTGGACAGTACATCTTTGGTGGATATACTAGCGCCTCATGGAGTAAGTGACATTATTTCCTTTATCTTTTCCTACTCTTTTTGGAAAGCAACTTGCATTATTCCAACCAATTCTTGACATAATGTACAAATCGTTTAAGATAAATAAAGGTTTAATTTCTCGATCGTAGAAAGGGAAGAAATGGCTTGGATCAAATGTTTTCCATTTAGTTTCAATAATGATTAATTCCCGAACTAGCGAATGGCGGTGCAATGGATGTAGTTTTGCCCTGTTAAACAATGAAATGTCAAGAAGAATTATTTGCCGTTATAGATAACAGATTTCTATATCATATTTTGGCAGCCTTTACTTTAATATTGAAAAACTTATAAACGGTTAAAGTGATCTGTGGCATTTTCTACTTTCACTCATTCCCCGCCCATAAAATAGAAGAAGAGTCTTTTGTAACTACGGGATCGCTGAGTATTTTAGATCTGCTACGCCTTTTATCTAGATGACAATGTTTATAAATTAAAATTTGTGTACTGATTGACTGACACAAGAGAGAGATATATAGTATAATTGAGGAGTAAATGTAGCGTAGGTCGGTAACGTAGATGACGAACATTTTCACTGTTTCTGACAGATGATAATAAGCATGACGAGTATTTAAGCAAATCTCATCATATTTGAATATAAAAATTGGAGTATTTAATGGCTAAGTAGATCAGAACAATTGACACAGCAAATATTATGTACTGTCAGTCGT